AGAACAGGAATTCCTTTGTAGTCTAGGCCAGCAACCCAGGGGGCAAGGAGGTGAAAGAGTCATGCCCTGAGGTGGTTTCACAAGCCAGTGGCAAGATGAGAGTGGGAGAACAGAAGCCTGACCCCTCCACAGAGCTCCTTCCCATCTGAATATAATTCCAAAATAAAGTAAAAAACACCTTGCTCCATCCCAATGGAGGACAAAGGGTGGACAATGTTTCTGATAAGCAAAACCCACTCCATTCTTCTCCTCCCATACTCTTCTTCTCTTCTGTGTTTCTATCTCTGCCATCCAATTTTTATTCACATTTCTTGTTACAATTTCTCCAGTGTTAAATTTAAATGTGTGGCTCCCTGCTCTGATGGTCTGAAAGTTTGTGTCCCCTCAGAATTTATAACCTCAAGGTGATGGTATTTGGAGGTGGGGACTTTGGGGAAGGTCATTAGATTAGGATAGAGGAGTAGGGTTAGTGTCAGAGACCCCAGAAAGCTCCTTGGCTCCTTCTACCATGTGAGGACATGGGGAGAAGTGCCATCTGAGGCAGAGGGTCCTTGTCACAAAGTCTGCCACACCTTGATATTGTACTTCCAGCCTCCAGAACTATGGGAAATAATTATCTGTTTAAGGTTCCCAGTTTATGGTATTTTGTTATATCAGCCTGAACAGATTAAGATACTTGCCTAGTTCCAAGACCAAATGTAATATTTAAACTGAGCCATAAAACAACAACTTCCCTGCTTCTAAAACTGTGCAAGCTGGTTTCCAGGACCAAAGTTAGGTGCAAACTCTAGGACCTGACCTAAAATGACCTTGAGAGTTTTGAGGAACACACGTCTCTCCTGAGCAGAACTGGAGGCACAAGAAAATGGTAGGGGGATGCTGACCTATATTAGAAAGCAAGGGGTGCTGTCAAAAGTGGCAGGATGATCCACAAGTTCCACCTGAGCTGGTAAAGCAGGTGTAGACTATTCTGTCAGGACCCAGTTCCAGCCAATCAATCTCTTTCCCTTTTACAGAGTGCTTTCATTCCCTTGCTAAGAACTGATCAAGGAGACAGATTTGAAGGTGCCTCTGGCCTCCTTGTCAGTTGGTCTTCAACAAAAGCTTTTCTTTTTGCAAATATCTGGTACAACAGTTGTTGGCCTCTATGTGCATCAGGCTGCAAGCCCTCACTCGGGATCAATTTTGGGTTAATGAGTGAAACAAATGTCCTCTAGGGGTGGGGGCAAAACTGTTCCTTGATCTACTCAAAGGAGATGACCAATTCAGCAGTGATGGGGCTCAGACACCAGAGGATGAGCTGGACCTGGATGAATTTTTTCAAAGCCATTCTGCTAATGTGAGTATGAATTGTGTTCATTCCCCCCCCTCAACACTCTCTGACTAAAAAACTGTTGAAGTTCTAACCCCCAATACCTGTGAATGTGACCTTATTTGGAAATAGGGGTTAAGGTGAGGGCATTGAAGGGGGACCCTAATCTAACATAACTGGTGTCCTAATAAAAGGGAAAATTGGGGTACCAGAGACAGACATGCTCACAGGTGAATACCATATGAATACTGGTATTATGTTGCCAAGAGCCAAAGAACTTATTAGAAACTGGGAGACAGACTTGGAACAGATCCTCCCCAAGAGACTTCAAAGGAATCACAGCCCTGATAACACCTTGATCTTGTACTTTTGGCCTCTAGAACTGTGAGAGAAAAATTTCTGTTGCTTAAGCTACATCTGTAGCACTTGGCTACAGCTGCCCTGGCAAACTAATATGGTGAGCAAAGGTCAAGTCTCCGGAACAACCCAGAACACCTGGGCTGATCAGGGAGCAGCCACCAACAAAGTTTTTTTCTCAAGACCACAATTCACATAGAAGCAGCACATAGTACAATAGGGGTTTCCTATGAGCCACTCTGGGGGAGCCATCATCTTCACCCCTTTGTCATTCTGCCCCACTGTTATCACCTACAAGAGTCATGGGAGACAATAAATTTTCCAAAGAAAAGTTATTAAAACAAAACATAGTAAAATGTATGCAGCCTTCAGAACTGAGGGGAGAAGGGAGACTCTAGGGAAGAAATGGGGAATAAGCAAAATTAGAAAAATGGTATTTCTATTGAATATTTGCATTCACATCTCCTGCTTGGAACTTTGACCCAAGGCTATGTGAATATGTGGTAACTGGAAAGATGGTGGGGGTGGAGTAAAAGCTGAAAGGACTCAGCAGAGGAAAGAGAGGTTCAAATTGTGGTCCCTGGACCAGTAGCAGCAGCATCTCCAGGGAGCTCATTAGGAAGGCAAATTCCCTGCCACCCTGGGCCTATTGGATCAGGAACGCTGGGCTGGGGCCTAGCCATCTGTGTTTTAATAAGCCTTCCAGGGCATTCTGATCTACATAGAAGTTTGAGAAGCAGCTTGCTGGGGAAACCAGAAAAGGGAGAGAGACAGCAAGATCCCAAATAATGCTCTAATGCAATCTTTGTCTGAACAATGTCAAACTGTATGTTTTAAAAAATCCAGCTGAATCAAAATAACTATACATTAGATTTTAGCTGAAAGCACATAAACACAGCACATTATTCACTAATCTTTCAACACTGAGCCATTTACTTTTGGGGTGCTGTGGGTCAGTAGTGCCACTTTATTCCTACATGAATCTTATCTATATTCCAGTTCCATTTTCTTAAAGGAAATTTAAGAAACCACTGCAAAGGAGAGAAGAGAATTATTATTCTGGATATGTACAGTATTTTCCCAGCCCTTTCCAGCTTCATGGCAATATTTTTAGTAATTCTCCTTTAAACACTTTCTAACCATTCCCTTACTATTTATAGACTTGGTTTCTACATTCACAGTGCTACATTTTAGATAAGGAAACACAAGAGCTTAAATATACTCTTTATTTTTGTCAAGTGGAACTGTCATAGTAAGTAAACCAAATGTCACTGTCTTGTTTATTTTTAAAGATCCCTTTTGGTGGTTTTAAATAACATGAGCTTGCTTACAGCAGGCATTCATATACCTGCTAATACTTAAAACTGACAAAAATTAGGAATAGAGCCTGTTTTTAGCCTCCTAAATAGAATCTTCTCAGAGGAATAGAGGATGCTAGACTGTGGAGTATGTGTCAGCACTGTTTTCTATCCCTGATGCACAATCTCACTTTACTTCTTGTTGGTCACATGGTGATGGCCTCATCTCACAGAACATGCTAGACAACTCTAGTAGAGCTGTTTGATTATTCTCACTTGACAGTAGCAAAAGCTGAGGCCCAGAGACATTAAGATCATACAGCAAATAAAGGGCGGAGCAAAGACTCCAAACTTTTTTTTTAAAGAGAGAGAGAGAGAGAGAGAATTTTTTAATATTTATTTTTCAGTTATCGGCAGACACAACATCTTTGTTTGTATATGTGTTTGCCGAACGCATGCCAGGCGAGCGTGCTACCACTTGAGACACATCCCCAGCCCCCTCCAAACTGTTTTCCACATCCACACTGAGGGTGGGGGGGGACTGGGGATTGAACTCAGGCACTCAACCACCAAGCCACATCCCCAGCCCTATTTTGTTATTTTATGTAGAGACATGGTTTTACTGAGTTGCTTAGCACCTCGCCATTGCTGAGGCTGGCTTTGAACTCTCCATCCTCCTGCCTCAGCCTCCCAAGCTGCTGGGAGGTGTGTGCCACTGTGCCCAGCCAAGACACACATTCTTAATCACCACACAAGCAGCCTCAAACCTATGAACAATTCCCATAGTCATTGCAAAGGTGATACAGGAAATAGATTGTGTTGCTTTCACTAGGGAGCAATAACCATATTGGTGACTCAGTAAGGAATTAATAGCTATATACTCAAAAATTCTTATGTGAATTTGCCCCCCTCTCATTATTACAATGTGTTCTTTCAACTGGAATTCTACTAATTCCATCATTTCATTTACAGACTGCCCTCCAAAAGACTGATTTCCTGAAGGTAGGGGATGTACCTTCTGTAATATTGTATTCTCAATAAGATGCAAAGTGTGGACATACACATTCATGAATGTTAACGACTGAATTCATAGGATTGGATGTTAAAATGCAATCCTGGTTTGAACTCCCATCTACTAATACTTTCCCTGATGTATAGTAATGTATTCTAATTCTAAATAGTATTTTTTCATGAGACTTAGTTTAAAACCCCAGAGATGATCCAAAATGAATTTCAAGTTATATGTGAAAACTCCTTTCAGAGCAGATAAGTCCTGTTTCCAGACACAATCAAGTATAATCTAGACACACAGCAGCTCTGAGTACCCAGTAGGCTATACAGTCTTTTCTTGAAGTGGTAAAAGGGTATATTAAACTGTTGATCTTGGGTCGGAGTTGTGGCTCAGCAGTAGAGCACTCGCCTGGCACATGCGAGACCCTGGGTTTGATCCTCAGCACCACATTAAAATAAAGGTATTGTGTCCAACTACAACTAAAAAATAAATATTAAAAAAAAACTGTTGACATTGTCATCAAATTTGCTTGACAGTTTACTTTCAAGATTGTCTGTTTCAAAAAAGACTACAGCCCAGTAACAGGGCTGAAACCTTTTGCATATGGCTTAATTTTCAGTTTCTAGTTACAATGCTTTGTTTCACGTAATGCCTAATCCTATACTCAATCAAGAGCACTCAGGACCAGGAAAAAAGCCAACAATAAGTATTTCCCTCTACAGTTTAAAAAATATGTGATTAACAGATGAGAAAATATCTGACCCAAGTAGGGAGACTATGGCATTACTTTTGTAGAGACTGCATGTCTGAAGAAAAAATTAACTATAAGGTTACTCTGAAAGATTTTCAAAACCTGTTAATTATCAGCTTTATTTAAAAATGTACAAAATACTCTTGACATGTAGAACTTAAGCTTTTTGGATTTTTGAAACTCCACACAAAACTGACACACCCAAGAAATCCATACCAAATTAATAACTCAGAGACTGCCAATTTCATCCACTAATTTAACACTACAGTATTCAGGATAAATTAAAGGATTTAATATTATCAACACTTTAAAAAACAGTCATTTGTAACATGCTGTTATAATTAGAACAATCAGTTTTGGGGTTACTGATACAAGGAATTTCAACACCAAGCTTAAAGCTTCTTTAAAACATAAAAATTGAGACAGTGAATTAATGCAAACATAACTACATCTGAGAAAAATACTCTTCTTGTGAATGTTAATACTCAGCTAAATATAATCACTGGCACTGTGACTTGAGCCAGACTTTTAAATCCGGATTAAGCCAACCAGAAGGAAGGCTTCCAATGGAGGAAGGAATGGGACTCAAAGTTGGGATAACTTTAAATTCCAGGGACAATGAAGAGACCTGTTTGGGGAAGCAGAGTTACATATCAGAACAACAGGAAAATATTTTAAAAATTAAAATATATGTTTCAAAGCATATGCATCAGCACCTCATGGTGAGTTGAAACTTCTTTAACAAGGCCCAGTCTGAAAAATGCATATAAATAAGAATTGAGAGCCAAGACACGCCTTAGTCTTGTTGGAGTGCAAGGGTATGGCTTTGCATTTTGTTCAAGGTCTCTACTAAATTGTAGGGACTTCAGAAATAATAGTCTCTTTTTAAAAAGATATTGCTTATTTATAATAAATGATTTTAGTTAAAAGATTTGACCAGGTAAAAGCTCATTAGCAGTACACTGGCTTTCAGGTTTTACCTCTCAAATATTCCTGAGAAAATGGTAAGAAAAAAGCAGCTTTCCTCACTTTCTAAAAAACTTTTTCAGAGGTTTTTCAGACTTTTCTAGATGAAATACATAGGCAATATTGCAGCTAACGGACAAACTGAGGGACTGCTTCCCACTTAAACCAAACGGGAAGAAAACTTAGAACTATTTGCTATAAACTGCAAGGCAAAATGCAGCTCAAAACTGAATGGAGCAGGGGCCCTTTGCTAAGTGGAGGATGAAGTGTATGACCCACTTGAAGTTCCCGTTACATCATGAGTGCAGTTCAGTTTGGGGAAAATAGTTTAATGTATCTCTCAGAAAAAAAAATAGTTTATACTTTGCATCACAAACAAAACAGTGGTTATGATGTCCAGCGCCACCAAGCAACTTTCATTCTGTCCCATACTGCTGAAAGCGAATCCAAGGCAGGGCGGACGTCCAAGATGGTGAACTGGTAGTCCTTGTTGACTTCACCACCATCATAATAATCTATAACATATCTAACTTCTGTGCCACAGCGGTTGATGATCCAATCGTGCCTGTCAAAAGGCAGCTCATACCTGGAATGAAAGCATGCTAGTGGGTATAAATCACTGGCTGGGCATTTGGTGCTGGTTTAGCGGTGAGAGTGGCTGAGAAGCAGCACTTGCCTGCTCTCAACAGCAAACACCTGACTGGGAAGGTGAGGCTCAGAGACTAAGGGAACATGGCACTGAATGACTGATAAGTCCAGGTCACATGACTGCTTATTCCCTTACAAAGGAAAAAGATCCACAGGAAAGAAACCTGGGCCATTTAACTATTTACTAGGAGAAAAGTTAGGAACACTAAGCAGATGTTACCCAAAGATTATAGGAGGAGTAAAAGATGGATCCAAGAATACAGAAGAGAACTCAATTGGATCCTCAGATAATTAAATAGTAAGCTAGCCACTACATCTTAACACATCTGCCCATCAAGGAGCAAACCTCAAGGAGAGAAGGAAATCTATAGCTGAATACTGAATGAGTTTTAGAAGATGGCACTACAGTTCTTAGACTCTGGTGCCAAGAAAAAGTTGACCCTGATCTGAGGTATGCAAAATAACATTTTGGCACTGACACTCACCCCATCCAGGAACGAATTCTTGCTCTTGGTGAATACTGTTTTGCTTTCCCTCCAAATCGGATCAAGGATGGACCACAAGGGCACTCCCTGGAAAATGCCAAAGGAGAAAAACCTATTAAAATACTTTCTTTCCTTTGACAAGGATATGTTCCAGTTTTTCAATAATACACATATTCCTGTATGCATTTCACATAATACTGCATTGATATAGCAGCATCTAAAGCAATTCAAATAAAATGTCCCTATTTATTGAAAATATTCCTCTTTCCTTCTGGATTGGGTGCCTTTTACTTTCCCCTCCTCCCTCCAGACTGGGGCATTTGTTTGTACTGAGGGGGAATGGGGATAGGAAAGACAGTGGAATGAGATGGACATCATTACCCTAGGTACATGTAAGAAGATATGAATGGTGTGACTCTACTTTGTATACAACCAGAGAAATGAAAAATTCTGTTCCATTTGTGTACTATTAACTGAAATGCATTCTGCTGTCATGTATAACAAATTGGAACAAATAAATTAATTAAAAATATATATTTTCCATGAATACAAAAAAATTGAATAAGAAACCCATAAAATAAATCAATACATGAATTTTAGCTAAGAAACAGATAGAAAGGGCACTGCCAGGGCCCTTCCATTTGGGGCAGGGAGTTAGGCATATCCTCAGAAAAAAAATTATTAAGTATTGTGTATCTTGCTTCTCTTTTGCATAGAGTAGCTGGGCTTTTTTCAGACAAACATAAGAAAATTCTATATATAGTTGGCTGTCTGTATCCATGGGCTCCACACCTGCAGATTCAACCAAGTGCAGATTAAAAATATTTGAAAAAATAACTGCATCTGTATTGAATATATAGACATTTTTCTTATGATGATTCCCTCAGCAATATAGTATAACAACTATTTACATATCATTCACACTGCATTAGCTATTGTAAGTCATCTAGAGATGATTTAAAGAATCCATGTGAATGTACATAGGTTATATGCAAAAACTACACCATTTTATAAGAGATTAGAGCATCCAATGGTTTAGGTATCACTGGGGAGTGCTGGAACCAATCCTCTGTGGACACTGTGGGATAACTGCCATTATGGAGAAAGAAAATGATGAATAAATCCCTGGGAAATAGTAGTAATTGGTGTTGGAACCACTCCTTAAATAACTACACATAAACTGAGGGGTGACAAGGTTCTAGCTATAGAATCCGCTTACTCTGCCCACAAACCCTGGTTGAGGATTCAGCCTTCTGCTGGCACTGGGGTGCAGCAGTACTCACAGACCTGCCCTCATGGAGGGCATGGTACACCTGTACAATAGATACAGAGCTGCTTCACCAGTGAATCGGGGAAGGCAGTCAAGACATGAGGCCCCCTAACTTGTTAGCTGCTTTCCCTGACGAGACAGGCTTCCATCTTGATGTGTCTCTCTAAGTGCAAAGGAAAAAAGCATTCAAAGCATAAGGAGCCTTATTTGAGGACCATAAGTTACTGAGTTTTCCTTTCAGGACCTATTCCTTAGTTTCTCTGCCTAAGAGGGTCACAAACTTGATCCAGGAAAACTCTCCTGGAGACCTTGACATGGGTTTTTAAAGGCCTACCTAATTTTGCCAAAACTCTCTAAAATAACTGGAGAGGGAGCTGAAGCTGATGAACTAAAATTCCCTCTGCCCCATGTAATCACACTATAAGTAAAGAGCAGGCAGTTTTAATTACAGCACACTTTCAACCAAGGTCACTGCAGACACTTGTGGCTTCCCTCATTAGCAAGCTGGGAGTGTGACTCCTTCAGGCTATGGATTACTGACAGGCAACGTGGTTGCTGCACTGTTTCTCCCTCACATGCACTCATCACAGGCCTTGCGCTTGGCCAGTGACACCCAGGAAGTGTCACTAATGAACTGCAGAGGGAAAATATTAAAAACAAACTTTGGATTGGACAAAGGGGAGGGGAGGGGGCATGAGGGTAGGAAAGACAGTGGAATGAGATGGACACCATTACCCTAGGTACATATATGAAGACATGAATGGTATGACTCTACTTTGTGTACAACCAGAGAAATGAAAAATTCTGTTCCATTTGTGTACTATTAACTGAAATGCATTCTTCTGTCATGTATAACAAATTGGAACAAATAAATAAATTAAAAAATATATTTTCTCTGGATAAAAAAAACAAACTGAATAAAAAACCCATAAAATAAATCAATAAGTAAATTTTAGCTAAGAAACAAATTAATCACATTTTGTGAGGAATGTGAAATGCAAACCACAGATTATGAAATGATCTGGTTCTTGGGCTGAGGTGAAGCCCAGCATGCAGCGTTGTAACAAACTTTCCAGAAGGTGTTGAGAACCACTGGTCTCTAAAGACACAGATCCTATCACCATAGCATATACATTTACCAAATCTCCCTGAGAAAAGGGGCCCCATAATGAGACATCTCTTAGGGTTATTCCTAATGGGGATTCAATAGATGGTGCTGAGGGAACAAAAGCATCTTCCCATCTGGCTTAGGACACAGAGCATTTTAGTACCTCTCTTCCTATGTATTCTGCTTTCAATGGACTGTGGAACTCCTCTCACTGAGAGGTGGGGGTCTCTGTTCCCTCCCCTTGAACTTGGGCAGGCTTGCATCAATATGGGACTTCTGAGGCTAAGTCAGAAAAGAAGACACAGCTTTGCTTGGTGCTTTTTGGAACCCTAGCTCCTGGATCCTGGTACCATGATGCGAGGAAGCCAAAACAGTCACATTTAGAAGCCATAAGCAGGCTGGTCTGAAAGATGGCCAGCACCACCTGCTGGACAAGTAAATGGTGACACCTTCAGAGGTCTCCAGTCCATGGATACGCAACCATCCCTGACTTGGGAGTTGAGGCCCCAGACATCAGGGAGTAGAGAGGAGCTATCTTTGTCTTTTCTGCATTCTGGACCCACCAAGTATGGTTGCTGTTTTTCACATGAATATGGAGGGATAATCTGTCCCACAAAATGTCACAGGACAGTTTTATAAGTATTTTATTTAAGTATCAAATTATTTTAATGCTAAAACTGTAGAAGTTGATACAAAATATAAACGACACTGGAAGTACTTTTTAAGATCTCAATCATACTTACGCAGCATGAAGAGCTTCCCACTTCAAAATCTCCTTCCAGGCCTGTTCATTGTTCTGATTGTGAATTTTAATGATATTATACATATCTTTCTGACTAATATCCTCATCCTTCCACTTCCACCTATGAAAGCACATTTGGTAAAATGTGACAAACATTACTGATAATGCCAAAAAGTTAATCCAAATATTCATAAAGTGATTTACAAAATTACAAACAAACTAAGAATGCTCATTTTCTATGAATTCAATGAATCTAAGACTCATTTTAAAGATTTACTTATGATCATGGAATAGTGCCATAAATCAAAAGCTACCACACAAACATTAAAATTGAAGATTAATAATGAAGTTACTCTCATTTCACTGAATTTCCAAAAGCCAGACTTATGGAAACATCTATTTTTAAAGATGGTTCTTTTAAAGATGGTTTCTTCAGTGAGTAACATTGATTAATGAAGCTCCAACTTTTAAAAAGTATTCTCTACATTAGCATTTCTTTCCTTTAAAAGAAAAAAGCTATTACTGGCTATGATGGTCAATTTTATGTGCGATTTGATGGGGTCATGGAGCCATGTGGCCAAACACTGAGCATGTCAGTGCGGGGGATCTGAATGAGATCAACATTTCAATCAGCAGAATGAGTAAAGGAGACTGTCGTGCTCCACATGGGTGGGCTATATCCAATCAGTTTCAGGCCTAAATGTAAGAAAAGGGCTGATCTTCTCATAAGCAGAAGCTTGAACTGAAACATTATAGTCTTCTCCTGTTTTTCAGACTCACACTAAAATGTCAGCTCTTCCTGGGTTTCAAGCCTTCAGACTCGGACTAGCACTATACCATTGGCTCTATTGGGTAGCTAGTTTGTCAGCTGTAGATCTTGGGATTTGTCAGCTTCCATGATCATGTTAGTCAATTCCTGAAAATAAATCTTGCCCTGCTCTCCCAGTCCTGTTGATTCTGTTTCTCTGGAGAACCTGACCTCAAAATTGGCCTTGAACTTATATTCTGACAAGTCTAAAAATTCTGTTGATTATAAGCTAATTAACTCATTAAAAACTTGCTGTATTTTTTTGAGGTAAAAAAACTAACATTCAATTCTTAGATGAATTTAACAAGCAAATTTATATTTTAAACAATATTCTCATTCACTTACCCTTTCCTTAACATTGCATTCCAGAACATCTGTTCGGAAGGATAAACCCACTTTTTCTCTGAATCTGCTCGTGGAATGGATGACTCCTCTCTGACGGTAGACAATGCAAAGGGCTGATCTGGAGCTGGTGTTTGATTAGGTGGTGGCATCTAAATAAAGTAAGTAGATTTGTTTAATAAATGCTAGAAACATGACATAAAGTAGAATATATTAATATAATTAAGTATCTACTGGAAAGCAATGGATCACACACAAAGCACAGATTCCCCACTAACCCACTGACATCAAAACTTCAAGCCTCTTAGATATTTGGATTGTTCTGAAACTTCAGAATACTGAAGCTTATTTCCTTCATGATTAAATTCTCATAAATGGTAAATAGATACTGTGGTTAAATTTTGCTCTCTCTTTTGAACAAATTTAGAAGTGATGTCACCAAGGACACAGAAGTAAAAACTAATATAAACTACAAGCATTTCTAAAATTCTTTTTATAATCTCAGCAGCTCAAGAGGCTGAGCCAGGAGGAACACAAGTTCAAAGTCAGCGTCAGCAACTTAGAGAAGCCTTGTCTCAAAAATTAAAAAAAGAAAGGGGCTAGGAATGTGGCTCAGTGTTTAAGTGCCCATAGGTTCAGCCCCTGGTTTAAAAAAAAAAAAAAAAAAAAAAAACTTTTTTGACAGGTTATTCAAAACTGACTATTAACTCTTTATCTCTTTTGAACTTTTGAAGAAAATCTCACAGACTATATATATAATGCAACTTTCTTTTTAAACATTCATACATGTACAATTCTGCTTATGCTTTCAGACTTTGGGCTGAACACAATATAAATGAATATTTGCACTGCAATAATGCCAGACCAAAGGTGTGGCACAATCCCTTCTCCCATTCAGGGGTCAGCAGTCAGTACTGTTATGTTAATTAACAGCCAACTTAGGTCAGGGTCTTGCACCTTCAGCACTGTTGACTTTAGGGGCTGATTTTTGGTTAAGGGGTTCTGTTACACTGAGTACTATAGGTTATTTAGCATTATCCTCAGCTTCTGCCCAGTTGTGACACTCCTGCCCAGTTGTGATGATGAAAACTGTCTCCAGACATAAATAAGTCAACTGTCCCCTGGCAAGCACCCCAAGTTGAAAACTGGTTAGAACTTCTTTTTGTATTAGAAGTGTGAAAGACTTTCTCTAACAGATACACATGAATAATTGAATGATATTGGCCAAAGTATATGATTATATCATGTGCATCTATAAATATGTAACAATGAATCCTGCCATTATGTGTAATTAGTAGTGCACCAGTAAAAAAAAAAAAAATATGGAAAAAAATAAAACTCCCAGCCATAACATGGCCCCTACTTTGAATTACAATAGAAGGAGAGCTTTGTATGGTAAGATCTGCAATGATTGCCTGTACTGTCACCACTAGCATTTTTAAGGACATAAGTCTGAGGCAGATGGACTTCAGTTTGGCTTTGCCACTTCTTAGCTGAATGGCATGGGGCAAGCTGCTCACTCTCACTCCCAGTATCTTCAGTTCTAAAACAAGGACAAGAAACACTGACCACATGAGGCTATTATGAGGATAAAAGAAAAAGTGTATGGTACTTTGCTTGAATGCCTCAAAAATGACCACAAGAAAATCTAGCTGTTATTAGTATTCTCGCTACATATAATGATCCCTTGGGACAAGAGTATAGATATCTAAGATTCTAAAAGGCTCATGTTCTGAACCACTAGGCTATTAGATATGATCTGGACCAGTGGTCTACTGGGGTACTCTTTGCAATGTCTAGAGATATTTTTGATAGTCACAACTAAGTGGAGAGAGTTCTCCTGGCATCTAGTGGGTAGAAGCCAGGAATAATGCTACACATCCTACAGTGCACAGGGTAACTCCCACAGGAAGGAATTACTAAGCCCCAAGTGTCAACAGTACCAAGGGTAAGAAACCCTTATCTCATCCAACTTCTTCAACACAGCCATTTCCTTATAGTTTGGCAGGGTCCTTACTGAGGTTTGACCACAACCCCTTCCCTGTTCTTGAACCTGAAGTCTAGGATACTAATCCCTCCCAAGTAATCCTGGGCTTTTCTCTATAAATGAGTATACTGAGCTGTAATTGCCTCTTTTTCTCATCTGGAATTTACTATAATGTGAATAAGTTGAGAGCACAAGCTGTGTCCTATGCATCTTTGTAACTAACCTAGGAGAGTCCTCAGTACACTGGAGGAACTCTAAATATCTATTAAATAAATGTTTCCAGCAGACAGGCCACTTACTGCTTCATCTACGAGTCCACTCTGTGTGTAGGTTGGTTCCATTGCTACCAAGTTGCTTTCTACATGGCCTCTTATAGTAGATGTTATAGTTGACACAACCCATTGATCCTTAGGCACGCCACTAAGATTGTCTTCCACATAGGCCTTCAAATAAACTATTTCTGTCAAGAGCCAGATAGCCAATATTTTTGGTTTTGTGTGCCACGTCACACTACTCAACTCTGCTGCTCCTTTCTCTACTGTGTAAAAGCAGTGACGGACAATACATAAATGAATGAGTATGGCTGTATGCCAACAAACCTTTATTTTCAAAAGCAGGTGGAGGGCCAGATACAGCTCATGGACCACAGTTTCTCAGTTCCTGATGTGGACACTGCTATTGTATCTCTCTTTTCGAGGACTATTTCTAGTTCCTTCAAATGTTCCTGGTTCACTAAAATTTCTAAACATTTTTAATTTAGACAGCCATCCTGTGGCTCTCTAAAGTATAAGCCCAAGTCTGTCTGTCTCTCCACTAAAATGTGATTCCAAATGAGACTACAATTCCTTATGTTGTATGGCTATCATAAAACATAAAGAAGCCACAGGTACCTCATCCCTTTTTGAGAAAAAGGAAAAAGAAGGTTTATTGCTTTTCTAGCAAAGGAGAAACACAGGGGACTCCTGTTCCAAAGGCTGTCATTCTGCCCATCATGGGTAACAGGGGTTTTTTTAAAAGGTGATTTAGAGAAAATGAGATTAGGGAGGAGACATGTATAAGGAGAAGATCAGGGAGGAGAAGATTAGGGAAAAGAAGATCAGGGAGGAGAAAATCAGGAAGGAGAAAGTTAGGGAAAAGAAGATCAGGGAGAAGAAGGTTGGTAAAAGAAAGAAAACATGTAAGTTTCAGAGTCACAAGGGAAATAGTCAAAGCATCAAGTGAACCCCTGTTACAATTATATAGTAGCAGACTATAATAATAATGTAGGTTACATAATAATATAATAACAGAAAATAAAAGTCCACAAGGGCAACAACATAGCCTATCTTGTGCACACTGCTCACTCCCAGGGCTTAGAACAAAACAGATAATAGAGCTTTATAGAAATTATGAATATCCTCATCCTCATTTCTTGATGACATTAAATTTGCTGGCAGTCAGATGACACTGTACTATCCTAGCAATTAACATGTGGCTGGCTCCTAATAGTGCCTGAAGAAGCACCCCAATCTTGTAAGATGCCTACAAGGTTCTGGTCAACCTAAACACCTTACTACCTCCAGCTATGTTCTTTAAGGAAGATCTTGCTACCATCTAATAACTCTTTCACGTGAGAAAATACTCATTTGGTGTGGCTTATTCCTAGTAAAGCTACCCTGGGTCTTTGTAATCACTGTTTTCTTTCCCAGGTGCTCTCTGAAACTATATTTAGTATCCCATTCTAGACTTTTCACTGTATATGCAAACCAAACTTTAGTTTTCAAATGTCAGAAGAATCTATCCTAGCAGTCTACATATTGTCTTAGGAGTCTGTAAAAGCATTTATGCATAAAATATTCCAGGAAGAAGGAAACAGTATATATTACCAGATTTGAAGGATCCAGGTTCTCCTTATTCTTAGCAGCAGCGCCTGTAACAGGACACTCCACATACTCATATGCACGATCTTGGTGGGCAGGCACAGAGTATGTTTTGCTCTCACAGGTTGGACCAGAGGGTTCTGCATTCATTGGACAGCCTGAAATAATCAAGTATAAAAACTGTCAACATAGCAGAAGAAAAGCATAACATCTGGGTCTCTCAAGTGGGGCCTTAAGAAATTGAAGTTCTGACAACCATAGGAAAAAGTGTTTCTTTTGTTTAAAGCTGCCACGAACTAAGCTATCTAATGTTCTAAAATTTGTAGATGAGGAAAAGGTTCAATAAATTTACTGTACTTCTGAAAAAAAAAATCCCCATTCTATGATTAAATTATGCTCCCAGAAAAAATAAATGAAAATATCTCAGCAGATGTAATAGTATGTATTGCTTATGCCATAGTGTTTGCAATAGGTTAGAAAGTTCCTGCTTGGAATAGCACCTGGGAGCTGTAAAAGGAACCTAAGTAGGGGCTGGGCCACATTTCACCGAGTCTCCTTAACTTCCAGCCATTAGTTCCAGACAAGCCCAGCCCCAGCCAGGATGCCACTGCAGTCCAATCATCTGTTACTGATGTACTCTCGCAAGTACTGGAGCAGAAGAAAATGAGCAGAGATTTCATAAAGGCTGCTGAAGAAAAATCTCCATGCCACTCTGATTGTATTTTATTTCAAGACTAAAACAAGGCACAGATAACTACTAGGTAGCCAAGGTGCTGTTCCTTGTCAGCAGACAGCAAGAAAAGGGAGACATTAAAGAAAACAACCCACAACCCATCTAGGACCCAGGTGCTTCTTAAGGGGAAGGTATGAGCCTAATGACTAAGCACTAGGAAGGGCAGACAATGTATCTGGATCCTGATTCAGTCAGGTGTGGGGACTGAGAAGTTGGTCTAAGAGTTCACAGCAGGCAGGCTCCTGGAGAACTGCAGCCTGGGACAACAGCTGTTATGTAATAGAATCCTTGACTCAGGCAGCAGCAGGAAGAATGGAATACACCAAATGCTGGTGACACACAGAGAAAAGATGAGTTTCCTTTCACTTCCTTCCTTGGGCCTCTCCTCCCAGGCCCTCATTTCCTAATACCCATCAGTTGCCTAATTTAGAGATGAAAGCAAACTTGCTATATCTTCCCTCTCTACCATTCAAAGCATCAATCCTTTCAAGGGCACTGATTCCCACTCATGTTAATTTACATTATATAATTAGAAGCCCTTTTGATCTACAAATACATTCTTTACTATAAATCAGACTGGCTCTAGGATAAATAACAAATGAAATGAAACCAGAAAGAAGACTCTGATCTCCCTGAGGATGGACACTCAGAGCAGAAGCACAGCTGCTTCATCTGATCTGTCTCAATTCATGGAAGAAGCAATACTACAAGAGCACTGCATCTGTCCTTGTCCAAGGTCACAGAGTTTTCAACAGCTTTGCCACTTATACCCTGTGTGACTTGGAGTGCATTGGTTATTTATTCTGAGCCTTAGTCTCCTTGGCTATAAAACAGAAAACCCACCACACAGGATTATGAATATGAGATACAGGATTTTCATCAGACAAAGGATCTTCAGCTCTTATTCACTACTACTCTCAGTGCAGGAAGAAATAACAAAAAGTGCTTGGCACAGAATTGGCAGTGACCTGTAAAAGTGGGCTGGCTCACCCAGAAAATAAACGACTACCTCTGCAAGAATTAGCATTCAGTAAACATGCCACATTGCCTCTCTCATCATGACTTACTGATTCAAACCAAACTTTAATATGAAAAATTAAAAGCCAACATACACTGTCTAAAAGTCAAAGAAATCTTTTTATTTTCAGCTTTGCCTGAAAGAATAGACCACAAGTCCATTTGGAGATGGCTTATTTTATAGGATATTGTAGCATATATGGGAGTAAAGTTTATTTATTAAGACAGAGATGGGCTGGGGCTGGGGCTCAGCGGTAGCACATTTGCCTGGCATGTGTAAGGCACTGGGTTGGATGCTCAGCACCACATATGAATAAATAAATAAAATAAAGGTTTATCAACAACTTAAACAACAACAACAACAACAAAAAAGACAGATAGATGTGGACCAAGGTTTTCCATGCAACCTTTGTATTCTTGATATCTGGGCTGGATGATTGTTTGTTGTGGGGGGCATCCTGTGCATTACAGGATGTTTAACAGTGTTCCTGATCTCCACCCACTCAATGCCAGGAGTACTCTGTACTCTCAGTTGTGATAAAAATGTCTCCCAGCATGGGCAAATGTCTCCTGAGAAGCACTGATGGAAGCACAGGAAAACTTTGGGGAGTCAGGGAATGATTCATGGTGCAATCACTATGCTCTCCTATTAATTAATCATCATGATAACCCTCTGAGATAACATTATAGTCTCATGTTACAGATAATAGACTTAGAGAAGTAACCTATCTATAATCACAAAATTTGTAAGCAGCTCCAGGGTGCCTCACTCCCAGGCCTACAAGCCTCCCTAGCAAACTACACCACCTCTTCTTTAGAACCTTTTCAGAAATATCTTGTTTTACTTTTCTACACAAAGGGTCAATTACCTTTCATTTTCCCTTCATGCATTGGGCATCCTGAAGGCGGTGATGCTGTCTGATGATCTGAAGCATTTGAGGTCTGAACTGGAACAGCAGGGGTAGAGGCTGACAAACCCATGGTTGGAATCAGTGTGGACTCCAAACAATTTTAAATTTCCAGCTGTCAAAGCAAAGAGACATATCAATGCTGATGCCTAGAATGCAGCTATTCCCTTGTTCCTCTTAATCTAGTCAATCCTTTTTGTCCCATCATGGGAACATACTAGGCTTTAATATATTGCCGCCTTTGGGAAACAGTATGAAACCTGCCCTCCGGGGGCACGTTTCTAAGCGAGTGGGGATTAAGCGATTAAGGTGAGGTGGTCTCTGAGAAACCACATCATAGACGTGGTGGGCAGGCCAAACCACCTCACAGAGGTGGTGTGCAGCCCGGGGGGTCTTCCTGAGGGAGGGTAGGCACATTGAAATCAGAATTGATCCCTAGTCCCCCAGGCCTTAGCGAAGAGCACAGATAAGGAAATTCGAGGAAGGAAGGATGGAAGAAAGGGAAAAAGGGACAGAGGAGTCAGGGTGCTGCCACTCTTCCCGTACCATCCCCACAGTCCCACCTGCTCCAGGGCATGGTCCCCAGGCCCCACCAGCCGTGGCCAGCACGACCTGATTTCTCCCCCAGCTACTGGCCCTGCCTCTAACCTCCAACCCAAACCGCGAGGACCACGACCTGCTACCGTCCCCGCCTTCCTCTCACTGGGTCACCGCTGTCGCCGCGGTCACGGCCGGCGCTCTCTTGCGCCGCTCCTTCCTTTTCTGAAGGCGGGACTTCCGGGTGCGCGGGAGTAAACTGCCGGCTAAGAAAGGGTTTCTGTCAATCACAGAGAGGGTCCCGCCTCCTCGGAGCTTTGACCTATAATCGCGAGGCCGTCGCTGCTGGGTGCCTTTTTCAACTTCACAGAGGTGGCAGGGGCTTTTATCGTCTAGAGGTTCCCGTAGAGACAATTCGGCTACACGTAATTTGAGCGGCTGAGGGAGTGTTTGGGAGGAGTTTTAAATTTTATCCGTTTTCTTTAATCCTGTCAAGTTTTAAAATTTAAAAATCTTAATTGACATATATTTGTACTCGTTTATGGGGTACAGTACTATAGTTCTATACATGTAGACAATTTAGAGTGATCAAACCAAATCATAGTAATGTTTCAAGAAGCATCAGTAGGGCCGGTCACAAGGACACATGCCTGTAATCCCGGTGAGTCCAGAAGCTGAGGCATGAGGATCACAAGTTCAAGGCCAGCCTGGGCAATTTGGCCAGATGCTGTCTGAAAATAAAAAACAAAACAGGTCTGGGGGTGTGGCTCGGTGGCAGGGCTCACCTTGGTTCAATCCCCAGTACTGGGAAAAAAATACCATCATTTGGTATCCAGAACTGTGGATAATTCTGGAGAGGACAAGCGAACAAGACAGGGTTCTGCCTCTGTGAGGATGCCTTAGGCCTGAGCCTAAGCAACTCCATTTTAAAAATTCCAGTTTGAAACCTGCATTCTCACCAGGCACACCCACAGAGCTCTCTAGTATGGAGAGTTACTTCCCCTCACCCTGATAAACAGTGAAGCCCCTGGCAGGCTGTCCTCACCTGATAAGAGGGAAAGACAAGAAGATCAAGGTGCAGACCACCAGACCAGATGTTTCTGACCCCAGGGTAAATGACGTCACTGAGAAACCCAGTGGTAGCTGATAAGGATTGAAAGGGGGGGTCAAAAGCTCCAAAATTTAGTATAAATAATAGAGCTAATGAACAGGGATTCAGCGGCCAAAACAAGAATGCTGGAGAGCCTGATGAGGATCTGGACTGACATCCCATCACTTGTCATAGTTTCTGATCCTCTGTGTGATTCTCACCGCTCTCAAACTCTGCTGCCTCATGTGGACCTTGGTGAGAGCTGCAACTTCTCCCTATGACCCTCTTCTCAACAGTCGTCCACTCCATGCCAGGAAAAGCCTGCTTTGGTTCCTGACCTGGTCACTGTGGTCTGAGTGAGTATGCATCTGCTGGACATAAAACCTAAGGCTTAAGACTTTTGAACTTAGCATGCAGAGGGAAAGTCTGTCATTAGCCTGTCATGATTAAGTGTGTTTTGCAGTGCTTAGAATGAATCTAAAATTGTTTGCTGTGAATTAATCAATCTAGAATTGTTTGCTATGAATTGATTATGTCTATTGCAGTGCATAGCATTAGGATTGTCATTTTCTTGATTAAGAACCTATAGAGTGAAACTGTATTGAGTAATTTGAGTGAATAAAGCATTGAAAGGGGCAGAAGCGCGTGGACATTCTTTATTTCTCCCCTCGACTGCATACGTTACAATTTTGCCCCCTCGCGACAGCCTCCAAAGTCTTCTTAATGGAGTATGTGGATTTGAACAACTCTATTTTAAATTTACTCCACCAGAAATTTAGCATTTTCTTCCATCAGAAATATAGGCAACAAATTCCTGTAGTGGTAGCTATATGTGGATTTAATAGAAGTCACAGGTAAATTATGTCATATGTGATTGTTCTGTCTGAAAATACCATTCATTACTTTAAAATTAAAGTGATTTGATCTTATTAAAGTGTTAATTAAGAAGCATATGTCTTCCTATATCACCAGCAGTGATTCTGTGAAGTATGTCCAAATCTCCCCACAGGGCCCAGACTGCTCATCCCCTTGGGTGCTAGGAGTAATGGTCCTGACAACTCTCAGCTGAATTTTTCTTCAGGAATTGCCCTCTATCAGAAGAAAACTGCCTCACAGCAAAATTACATTCCCTCCTTGAAGACAGGCTGCATCCTATTAGTAGACTCTCTAAGAGAACTTAGCTTCAAGTGGGGCAACACAGAAGGGCCATACCAGTTTCAGAGCTGTTTAGAGGATCAGCTGAGGATTCTATTGCAACTCCATGAGCATTAATCTTCTCCCTGTGCCTATCCCCTCTTCCGTCACTCTCTAGCAGCTCTTCATGAGACCACTCCATGCAAATCTTGAAATCTGAGATTGTTTAATGAATTTTATTATTTTGATATGGTAGGATCAACAGTAGATGATTGCCTTTGAAAAGATAGTTTATTATACTCCCAAATCCAAAGACAGGGAGTACATGCCATGTCACCAGGGGTTGGGGTTATGTGGAAGCACCAGAATTTATCACAAGACCAGGGAGAGGGGGAATCTGTGGGCAAGAGCCTTCTCAGGAGAAAGAAATGGGGGAGACAGTGCAACAAGTTTAGGATTGTCTAATTTGAATAATTTCAGTTGCCCTTGGGGCAGGGCTGTCTCCAGTAGTCTGTTACCTGGCCATGGAGTGATTAGGATAGTTGTATAGTGGCCCAGAGTAGGAGAGCAAAATAAGAGAGTTGGTTCTATGTGTAGACTTAATAGAATGCTCAGAAAGGGGAACTGGTTGCTCTCTAGCCCATGCCTTGAACTTGGATCAAGACAGCATTTAAAATTTGTGAGATTGTGTGTGTGTGTGTGTGTGTGTGTGTGTGTGTGAGAGAGAGAGAGAGAGAGAGAGAGAGAGAGAGAGAGAGAGAGAAAGATAGATATTAAACCACCCAGGGTCTTTATCACTAAGCTACACCCCCAGCCCTTTTTTTAAAGAAAATTTGAGACAGGTTCTCACTAAATTGTCAAGGCTGGCCTCAAACTTTCCTGTCTCAGCCTCCCTAGTCACTGGGATTACAGGTGTGCACCACCACACCTAGCTTTAAGACACCATTTTTTTCACAACTATCACATCAGTATATATTGTATTTCCTGAGGAACCTGGCATATAGCAATCATCAATCTGTTTTATTTTTAATAAGTTCACAGCTATATTTCAATAAAAATAGATTCATGCTAATTCCTTGTATTTTGTTTTATGCATTTAAAAATACTATTATTAGGAGACACTCATAAAATTCATCAGACTTCAAAATGCTCTATGGCACAAAAGAAGGCAAGAACCCCTGCTAATGGGAGAGACAGGTATGCAAAGGAATAACCGTATTTACATTCTTGATATGTGTATGTTGGGAATCTTCTGGGGCAAAAGGAAGAAGTGACTACTGTGAAGTCATGGACAGGAAGTAGGTAGAAAAGGGAAAATTAAGTGCCAGCCATGCTTTGCAGAGGAGTTACTAAGCAGGGTGTTGAATGAGGAGTGGCATGGGGGCAAGAAGATAGTGGTGGCAAATCCTTAATCCACAATTCTGAAGGCAAAGACTTACTGCTCTTTATTCTCCTTTGTCCACCTATATTTCAGACAACATGCTAATATTGATATATAACACAACACAACACACACACACCAGTTTAAAATGATCAATTACAACATCCATCATTGAAGATGGTTGACAATGGGATTGTAACACTTTTAATCTCATCCCTTGTTCCTCCTCAAATGGGTGCACACAAAAACAGGCACATTTTCTTCCTCTCTCCCATATCAATAGTTATATCCAATTGTGGATAATTAGCAACTTGGTGTTTACATTATGATAACCATGAAAATGTTATTCCTAGCTGATCCATATAGTGACTAATAAAGGATTATTTTTCTTGTAAAATTGTTTGCTAGAATTTAGTACTTGCCTTGATTTTTTTTCCTTTGTCTAGTTTTTAATGGATACCACTAAAATTCCTTTTGGCATTATAAATCTCCTCTCAATGCACTCAAACATACCAACCACACTATAGGTTTCATTTTTCCCTTGAGACTTCTGTCCTTGATAAACCCTGACTCTTTCCACTTCTAGATTGTTTGCTTAGGACTTCTACTAGTCGTCATCCTGAGATTCCTTTTGGACATTTTCCTTTCCTGTGTTGGATCTCTGGTTTCTGGATACCATGTGTTCTTTTTTGCATTGTTTTGGGAGCACATTAGTTTTTATGATCTTGAAAATCTAAAATTGTTTGTATTTTACCACCACATTTGCTTGGTAATTTGAATATGTAATTCTAAGCCTGGAAACTATTTTCTTCAGAATTATAAAGCACCTGTCTCCTTGCCTTCTAGTTTTCATTTAGCTGTTGGGAGGTCACACTCAATATATTAATCATCTTCTGAAAAGATGTGTGTTGATACAGGCCTCTTTGTTTCTATTGGTTTGGTACTAGATGAGAACCTTCAATCCAGAAAATTATCGACTTCACATTGGGGATATTTTCTCTTCTCTTTCTTTTCCTTCTCCTCTTGCTCCTTCTCTCTTTTATATAACTTACTCCCTTTTTCTTGGTTCTTTCTTTAAGAAACTCCTGGTACTCAGTATGGTGGATTACCTAGACTGACAATCTTCTTGCATTTTCTATGTATCAAATTTTGTTTTATTTTTAGGAAATTAAAAAACCCCAACTATTGTATTAGTTTTTTTAAAATTTATGCTATCACATTTTAAATTTCCAAGGTATGTGCATATATATTGTATGTACAGTAGTCCTCCCTTATCTATCAGGCATATGTTTGAAGACCCAGTGGGTGCCTGAAATTATCAATAGTACCAAATCTTATATAAACAATGTTTTTTCACTATGCATACATATCTATGATAAAGTTTAATTTGGAAATTAGGCACAGCAATGAATTAATGATAATAACTAATAATAAAATAGAAAAATTATAGCAATATAGTGTGTAACACAACCTATATAAATATGCTTTCTCCCTCACCCCCTCTCAAAATTTCTTGTTGTACTGTACCCATCCCCTTGTATACAGTAATTCTTCTTGTAATG